ATTCTTGTTTCAAGAAGGAAGATGGGAGGAAAGAACAGATGGGGAAAAGGAGGAGAGAGATACACACTCAAAGAAAGAAACTATAGCAGGCATCAAAAAGTTGAGAACAGAATGTCTTTGGACTCAAAGTAGCTTCCAGATTTCCTTACTGACCCTGTTTTCTCTCATAACCTACATCTAATCAGGCTGGAAATTCTGTTGGCTTTAATTTCTAAATTTTAGGAGTCTGACCATTTCTCAATCCATCCTCACTATTGCCAATCTGAGTTCTCGTAACTGATCTGTTTCCACCCTGCCCCTCATTCAATCTATTCTCAGTGAGGTAAGTAGCAGCTCGAGTGATCTCGCTAAACCATTGATCAGAGCATGTCTTTTATCTACTCAAAACTCTTCCGTGACTTCCCACAGTACTCGGAGTAAAAGACACATGGCCCAACAATGCCCCACCAAAGGTCTTGGACCTCTTCTGCTTCTGCCTTGTTCCCTCTTCAGACTTTCTAGCCTTCTTGCCGTATCTTGAATAGGCCAGGCAGACTCCCATTTGCTACCCCCAGTTTCTGCAATGTTCCTCTCCCAGATGTTCCCGTTACTCTCTCTATAATCACCTTCAGTTCTTGACTTAACTTTTCTCAGTGACATTTCACTTAAAATTACTCCATCTGTGCATTTTGTACTCTCTCTCCTTCCTTTTATGTTTATTTCTTTGCCTTGGAAATATTCACCATCTGATATACTTACTGTATATTTCACTTCTTTGCTTTTCATCTCCTGACTCTCCACGAGGTCAGGATATCCTGTCTATTTTGCTCACAGTGCCTAGAGTAGTATCTGGTTTTTAATTGATACTCTAGAAATCTTTTTTTGAACAATTAAAAATACATGAAAGTATTCTAGTTCGTCCTACCAGGACTTGCCTGATAGTCTTGTGGGTAAATGTTTGTTTGATGAAGAAAGGTAAAAAAATTCAAACTTTCATAGGAAAATTAAAATGTTGGAAAATGCGAACCTGTCACTGTGAGCCTGGCAATATCCCAATACTTTAAGGACTTTTCTGATGAAATCAGTTGTAAATTTAATGAACATGACTTTTTAAAAGAACTTTTATTTTCATGCCATGGTATCATTGCTAAATAATACCCTATCCTTATAGGCATAAGCCTTTGAAGCAGATGAATCAATGCAAATAGACATCTCCCAATTTATAGATATCTTAAATAAAGCGTATTTACGAGCATTTTCTTTGGAGCATCAACTGAATGGTAGGGACACAATCATTTACACTGCAGTATTTGGGAGCACTAATATCTTTTGCTGATCTGAGATTATATGTGACACTAAGAATATATATATAAAAACATCAAAAACTTTAGTTTGGCTTGATAAAAATAAAAAGAAAGGCAGTTCAGGTTACTTATAATTTTAGAATTTGTCCCACATATACAGTATTACTAAGCAACGAACACTTTCATAAAAATTTTATTTCACATCTTTATACAAATATACACAGGTATTTTATAATCATAAAATAATTTTACAATGCCAATTAGTATGAAAAAAATGTATCAAATTGGAACAGGCCAGTGACTTGACTTGACATTTTTAACAACTGTAAATTTAATGAATGTGATTTCTTGATATTGTATAATAAAATGTCAATTTTTGTAAAATGTGCAGAATTGATTTTAAATCAATACATGAGGCTACAAAATTATGCATGGATGAAAGATCGATTCCAAATGCATTTCAATATAATACCAAATGAAAAAGTTCAACGAAATGGTTTCAGACTCCATATGGCAACTAACATTTAAGAAAGTTGAAGAAGAGAAAGAGAAATCCTATATAATTTAGCTTATATGTGGAATATATATGTGTGTGTATGTGTATATATGCGTGTGCGTGTGTGTGTGTGTGTACATATAAATATACTTATATATACATATATATGTATATATATATATATACACACACACACACGCACACACATATATATATCATGAACAGAACCATAGATACAGATAGAGAACAAGCTGATAGTTGCCAAAGGAGAAGGGGAAGGAGGGATGAGTGAAAAGAAAAATAAAGGTTGAAGAAACTTTCAAAGGAGAGTAGCAATGATGATCTGAAAGGCTTTTAAAACAGCTCTCTTTCCAACTACATATCTGTCTGAGGCTAGATTTGCTTCATATTCTTCTATCAAAAAAACACATTATAACAGACCACATCCAGAAGCAGATATAAGAATCCAGACCTCTTCTCTTAAGCTAGACATCAAATAGATGTTATTTTACTTTTTAATAAGGTAAAACCAAAGTTCTTTGGGTATTCATTAAATTTTAAGAGTGTGAATAGGTCTTGAGGCCAAAACAATTGAGAATTAGCGAGCTAGGGATATTTTCTAGAGAAAAAAAATTGTGAAACAATTTTCAAGTTTCTTTCCTTTTTGTTATCTAGTCCTCAGTCACATACAACTGAATTAATTTTACTCCTAAAGTTTGACATTTAAAATGTTCACTACCACCAACACTGTTGCCATTAGCATTAACCATATATGTGCATGTGCCAAGTCTTCTAGAACATAGACACAGGAGGGGAACTGCCAAGCTATACCTTAGTGCCAAGCTCTGTGCCCCGGAGTCTGAGATGAATTGGATTGGATCTTGATATAGCTCTGAAGGAACCATTAGCTTATGGGGATAAAACACGGATCCTGGGTTGAAGAGAGAGATCTGACTCTTTTACCTCTTTGCTCCCCTCCTTTATCTTCCATCTGTCTCTAGCTCTTTCTCATCTCCTCCCCTCCAAGCCTCTACCTGACAGTGTCCCAGGAAGCCCTAATAACATGCTTATCCCATCCCCTACACCCTATGGGGTCTGGGTTACTTTAGAAATCCTTGGGTCTTCTTATATACTTAAAGGCTTGGGGTTCCATTTAAGCTTTCTTACTCTGCAAGAATGTTCCTCCTAAGAGTGGTTACATACAGTCAAAGAGCTGAGAAGTGACGGTACAAGATGGGTGAAGTCCTGTAAGGATTTTAACCCTAAAGCCAACCTCAGACAGATTGCTGCCATCAGAAAAATTCTATCACAGACTATTTGGAACTTCTCTCTCCAAACCATCATTTCTCTTAATTTCTGATTAAATTTTTATTTATTGGTTTGGAGTAGGGACAGTTATTTTGCAGTGTTTGAGTATGTGTGGGTTTTTTTTTTTTTTTTGTTTTTTTTTTTTTTTTTTTTGGTCAGAGAGTATTTTCAATAATTCAAACTTAATGTTGGCGTAAATATTATTGTGCCAGGCACGGTTGTCCTGGGCCCTGGGCTTAGAGGGGATTTGTGTTTGGTTTAATGTTGTGCTATTGTTATCTTGAAATTATTAACACATGTTGAGCAAGGGGCCTAGAATTCCTATTAGAATATAATTTTCTTGGAATATTTGCACTGGGTCTCATAAATCATGCAGGGGTCCTAATTCTATCAACTAGGAATTCCATAATGAACAAGATAGACAAACATGTCTTGTGGAACTTCATACCAGAGAGGGAAAAGAGACAGAAACAGGTAAACATGTAGAAGATTATTTTAGATGGTGATGAGACCAGTGAAGGAAATAAGACAGAGTGAAGCCAGATAGCATGATGTGGAGTGTGGGCTATCTTAGACTAGTGGGACAGGCAAGGACTCTGAGAAGACAGTGCTCAAGTTGAGGTCTGAGTGATGTAAAGGAGCAAGCTAGCCCATCAAAAAAGAGTTTGAAGGAAAAGAAGAACAAGCACCGAGCTCTGGTGTAGGAAGAACCTGATTTGCTTGGGGGAGAGAAAGAAGTTAGGCGTGATGGCTGGAGTATACACTTAGTCCAGGGTGTAAAGTCAAGTAGATCAGCATATGTGATGAGGTCAGAGATACAGACAAGGGCCTGATTGATAAGATTCAAGATAATCAATGGGTGATGTTAAAGTTAACCTTCCCCTTTCAATGAAATACAATAGAACAGGGGGTGGTGGACTGGTAAGCAATTGCAGATTTAGGTGTTCAAGAGGAACCAACACTCAAAGATCAAGCAAAAAAGCATCCTTACAGACTGGAGTCCAAAGGAATTCGTAATTCTTTACTTTGCTGAAGGAATGTAATGGGTAGCCATGCTGCAGTTTTCACTGGATTTTCCTTTTGCATAAATGTGGATTTTGGCTTTTCTGAGAGTGACCTGAGAAATGTTGCGAAACTGTACCAGAGATAGAAAAGAAGTAATATTGAACTTGTTTTTTTATGAGGTGCCAATCAAAGCAACTCCGTACATCAAAATCTTTACCTATGGGCACAGCTCTATGCTTCCAACTGAATCTCTGACATCCCCTGTAACTCACTAAGTCTAATTCTGCTACAAAATCATATGTTCTAAAAATGAACATATGGCTTTCCAGATTTGGCTACTTCAAAGAGGTGTCTCATATCTAAAATCATGTAATGTAGTGTTTATTCCCTATTTGAAAATTCTGCTGAGAGTATGGAATTCCTTTTTAAATTAATTTTGTTCTCCCCATAGTGTTTTAAAAAATACTTTGGGAACTGATCTTGTGTGTCTGCTGTTAAGAGCAATAAACTTCAAAATAAATCAATATGCACCAGGGAATTTTAACCAGAAACACTGGAAAAGAATTAATGGTACCTGTATCACATACTCCTCATTTCTATGGGTTCAGGTCTTCATCATTTTAATGACATACTGCATGCATTTTCTTGACACATGTTGTTCCTAATCCTTATGAACAGAACACAGCAACTTTTCATGGTTTTTGAAAACAAGACCTTGACTACCCCCCACCCCCTGCCCCAGGTCAAGGCATTCAAATCAGCTAGAGAAGTTCAATAATCATCCTTGTGTGTTTATCACATGAGATTTCTTTCCTGGTGGGTTCTGGTGGATTCCATTGCTCTCAATAGCAGACACAAAGGATCAGTCCCAAAAATATTTTTAAAAATACTCTACAGAGACCACAGCGATGAATCATAGACGAAGCCGGACCAAATTCACGGAAGATCAGTTGAAAATCCTCATCAAAGCATTCAACCAAAAACCTTACCCAGGTTATGCCACCAAACAAAAGCTTGCTTTAGAAATCAACACTGAAGAGTCTAGAATCCAGGTAAGTTACAAGACATCTCCAAGACAAGAAGTAGAAAGGAAGGCAGGGGGACCATTAATTGAGCACATATTACATACCAGTGTGCTGTGCTGAGGGCGCAATACAGAATGAACTCATAAGAATGTTGCTCTTAGTTTTCACTTCACAAATATGGACACTGAGGATGAAAGAGCTCACAGGAGTGGGGAGGAAGTGTGCAGGTACACATTCCAAGAAGAGGGAATAGTTGAGCTGGTTCTTTTTTTTAATGTGTTGGGATGACATTGGTTAATAACATTGTATAAATTTCAGGTGTACAACTTTATAATACCACATCTGTACACTCCACTGTGTGCTCACCACCCCAAGTCCTATGAGTTTATTTGTTGTTTATTTGTTGCTTTCTGTTTTCAATCTAGCGAAGTTATTCTTTGAACTGTTTGTTAAATGCATAATAATCGCAATACCTATTTACTAGCTTATAAAGATTATAGCAAATTATGCCAGGACCAGATTGTGAAGGGGCTAAATGCCAAGCTTTGACCTGACACTCAGTCGAATGGGACAGGTATCAGTAATAATCCTAAATTAGGTCTGGTAAGAATGACTCCCTTTGGAGAAAGGCAGCGATGGGGTTGAGATGACACAAACATGTTTAATCCTCTCGTTTTCTCTTCCTTACTTAGGTTTGGTTTCAGAATCGAAGAGCTAGGCACCGAGTTCAGAAAGGATCAGAACCTGAGAAGGACTCTGAAGCAAGCCAAAACCAAGATTTCTCTGAAGACAAGATTCATAGTAAATAGCCTGCTCCAGTCCTGTCCCCCAGCAGAGCCCGTTGGGTATCTAAGGACCTCTCTTAAGTAGTGGAACCAACTACCACTCTGAGTGGGAAAAGAATGTTCTCTCCCTCAGAGTCTCCTGGTCAGGGTCTTGT